GCTCACCCCTGCCCCTTGGTCACGCGTTCCCAACAGAGGCGGCAGCGGCAGGTGGAACGGGGCCCTCAGGAACCCGGCGTCCCTGCCACACCATCCGCTGCGGTCCCAGGTGACTGCTGACACCGGCTGGGCCACCGCAGCCCGCGCGCCCCGCGGACCTTGGTCTGGCAGCAGAAGGCCGCACTGATGGGTCCCGCGAGCGAAACCGGCACGGAGGCTCCTCACCACCTTGACACGCTCGGAAGAAGAGCCCAGATGGGCCAGCCCTGAGCACCTGCCGCAGCTGGAAAGACCCCGCCCGCTCGCCGGGGTCCCAGGGAGCTGGAGCTGCCCCTGCGCACCTGCCGGCCCCCCACGGCCCTCCTGTCGCTGGGGTCAGTCTGGTCCCACAGGCGAGTGAAGGTCCTAACGGGCTCGCCACCCCCGGACGCATCCGGCGGGCCACCTAACGCGAGGGCCTCTCCGTCGCCTGCTCTGCAGACTGCCTCTTGCCACTCCTTGAACTGAAGACAAATGGAAATAGTTCTGGGGGGAGTGGCCTCCATCACTAAAAACACTCTGTTTTTAACAAAATGGGAAATGGTTCAACACTGGGGACTTCACTCAGCCTTACCAACAAGGACCACCAGGGGGTGCCACAGCACCGGGGAAGCCGCGGGAGCCAGGCTGGGCCAGGCTGACCTCTCTCTTTTTTAAAATTGTTTTTCTCGTTATTGATTTTAGAGAGAGGAAGGGAGAGGGAGAGATAGAAACGTCGATGAGAGAGAACACCGATGGGCCGCCTCCCGCATGCCCCCCACTGGGGATCGGGCCCACAACCTGGGCATGTGCTCTGCCTGGGAATCGAACCCGCGACCTCTTGGTGCAGGGTCGACGCTCACCCGCTGAGCCACACCGACCGGGCCTGCTTTTCCACGGACATTCTCAAACACGTTTCGTGTCTCAGACACCGGCCGTGATGGAGCAGAGAGGACTTTTGATGGGAAAGGAATAAAGAACACAATCTTATTTCAACATTCTTTTTATTGATTTTGTAACTTAGGCGACTGGGAGGAGCCCACAGTCTCAGGAAAAGGGCCCCAGAGTCTCGTCTGGGTCTTCTCGACATTTCATGTCTCGCATTGCTTTTGGCTTTGCATCGATACGGGCGCTTCAGTTCAGAAAACAAGGCACTAGGACTATCGTATCAGCAACAGTAATACATTGATGATATATTCATCCCTTCAGGAAACAGCATTGGAATACAGTATGGTTTATGCTCCGCACACCCAAGGCACACACTTTTATGTTTTTCCTTTGTGTGTTTCTGTGTTCATTTGAAGGCTCGTATTGAAGTGTCCGAGTTGCTGTTAACACAGAAGCGGTGGGCAGTGACTGGTCATTTCAGACATGAAACGGTAGAGATGGTGGCGTGTAGAAACACTTACAGGAACAGTAAAGAGACAAAACCACCGATACAGCCTGGATTCAATATCCAGGTGGTAAGACCCGCCGACGTCCCCGAAACGAGCTTGGAAATGACCCGATCCTCCCTGAGCACGGGCCGTGCCGTGTACTGGCCCAGCCACGGAGGCATCGCCACCAACGTGCGTGGATGCGCGGATACCTACACATACGGAAAGACAGTCCAGTTCACCGGTTATTCAAACGCCTCAAAGTACAAGGAAAAGAAAAAGTCTTCCAATAACTTTTTTCCCCTTAACAAGACACACTGACACGTATGTAGGCATGGTCTGGGGGGAACCATCGTGCAGCTGGGGGTGCTCAAGACCAGGGAGAAACCGCCGAGGCGCAGGACAGAAGGGAGGTGACCCACCAAGCGGAGCACTTTCCGTGAGAACAGAAGCGACGTGGCCGTTGGCCAAACAGAATGTGCCGAACAGGAGAAACTTTAGGACCCACCACGAGGGGTTCACGGACGAGGCCCGTGGTTCACTGTTTACATGGAACACCCTCCTCCGGGCGGCAGATGGGGGAAGCCCCCGTCTTTCTGCCTCCGTCCGTTTGCCCCTCGCCTCCCTACGCGCTTCTTACCAAACCCGGCCAGCTGGACGTCCACCAGAGAGGCTGTCCGTTCCGCAAGACGCGGGGCCTGGCGGCGAGAACACAGGCCGTGGGTGTGGGGGAACCTGTGCTCCGGGAGACGCTAGAACCTGCCTCACCCCCGGCACCCCTGCTTCCGTCCAACGCAGAGGGAAGCAGGCTCCGCCGCCCCGGGACAGCCGTGCCCACAGGCGTCCGGGTCGACGCCGGGCAGTTCTGAAATAATGCACGTGCCCGTCGTGCTGGGGTGACCCTTGGAGGCAGTGGGCCCGAGGCGGACCAGCACGCTGCAAGGGGGCGCTCACTCTGGCCAGGGTCTGGAGGTCGTGTCTGTGACGTTTGGTTCCGCCATCACTGTGTGTAATCAGGACCACAACCTTAGTGCAATTGTGTATTTATTTTCTAGTCATCGGGGGGGCATACACGGAATTTAGGGGCCGGGAAGAAGTGCAGAGGACAGGAGCTAGTTCTTTGTTCCGTTTCGTTTTTAATAAAGTCTAAAAAGAATAAGAGCACAAAGCAGCAGTAACAGAGATAATGCGAACACAGCATACAGACCAGAGTGTGAAACAGGTTCGTTTCTCAAAACCCTCCCCCCGCAAAAAGAGAAAAGAAAAAAAAAAAAAGAAAGAAAGAAAAAAATCGGTTCATGGGGGGAAAAAATCATTTTTTGTGGCCCACAACCTGGGTAATGCTTGTTTGGTCAGTAACTCAGGAGAAAAAAAGAAAAAGATCACCATTTTTATTAACTAAAGTACCACAAATAATTCACTTTGTGATATGTCAAGTTCGGCAAATCAACAGTCACATCGAGTCATTTTCATAGTGAGTTCACCGAAAATGTGCGCGGACGCCCGGAGGAGGCGCCGCGCCGGGTTTACATCATTCACATCTCGAGAGATTTTGGTTTTTGTGTACACAATGTTACAGAAACTCGGCGTGTAAATTACAGTATATATAACAACGTTGATCGTAAAACCTGGAGTCGTATCCACACGATCCTGTGAGCGGCCTGCCCGGAGCCACCGCCAGGGAGGCGCGCGGCGCAGGGCCTGGTCCTCACGGGTCCCCGGGGGCGGACAGCGGGCGGCGGTTTGAGTGAGGGGCTATTGCTTTCCGGAGCGAGATCACCCACCGAGGGGAGCGAGAGGCGGGTTTGTTTTGGCATAATCGTCTTTTCTGTTTTCGGGGTGCGTTCTGCCGGGTCCTGTCCCTTGGCTAAAATAGATCAGTGTGAAAACCAGGGGTCCCTCAGCTCCGGTCTGCGTGCCTCTGGTGAACTGCACGGCCGGCTCTCGCCGACCGGCCAGCTCCCAAAGACCAGGACACCTGCGGCCACCTCGTCGGGCTGGGTCGTGGTCGACCGGCTCCCTTCCCCCCATCCCGTCTAGCTTTTGCCCGTGGCGCTGAGCACAGGGGTGATGGCAAACGCAGGCAAAGGAAAATGCAGAGCCACGGGGTGCGTGAGCTGATGGAAGACGGAGAGTGGCCAGACCGCCGTCCCTACGCTTTCTGGACGGGGACGGGCCCCAGCAGGCCACCCAGTGGACCTTGGCTTGACATTTCTCTCGAGGGGGAACAGGGGAAATATACGGAAGGGAAGAGCCTTCATGTCCCATTGATTGCGAGTTGGGTTGGACTTACAGAAGGTTTTGGGACAAAGGTCCAAAACCCGGTTTTCAATTCGGGGCTCGTGGCTGGACAAGGTGTGTGGCGCGTGTGTGCGTGTGTGTCTGGAGAAAATGCTGCACTGTGGACGGCAACCCCCTCTGGAGAAAGAATTGTCCTTCGATGACAAATTTCTAGCAAAGATAGAAAATATGGCACAGCACGGCTGGTTCCAATGCATCCAAATAAGGTCGATGGGGAAACGCCGTCCTTCGACCGCGTCCCCCGGAAACGGTGTTCCATCCCCAACGTGCTCTCTCCCGCGTCCGAGCGCAGAGACGGCACAGAGGCTGCCCGGCAGACCAGCAGACCAGCCATTTCTTGTTTTTTGTTTCTTTCTTTTTTTTTTTTTTTGTTTCGTTTTGTTTTCTTTTTTCTTAAAATATTGTGCTTATAAACTATCTGTACAACTAGTTACACTTGCAGTAGAGAAAGATTTTAAATCGCTAAATGTTACGTGTTCGTTCTAGAGCTTTACCAGACCTAAGAGACACTCGGCTGGGAGCGGAGAGAAGAAAAAGGAGGCGGGTCGTGTCTTATAACTAGAGATGGGCTAGGCGCCTTCTGAGATCCTGGCAAACGCCCCAAACCTGACCGGTTCTTCCAAATGTGGGAGACCGTGCCGGAGGCCTGACCGGTGACCTCCCCGGGAAATCAGAGGTATTGTGGCGGGGGTGGGGCTGGGGTGGGGTCCAGGGGAGAGAACGGCAGGGCTGGAGAAAGCCTCGCGGGGGGCCCGCCGGGACCTCCCTGCTCTCCCTCCGATCATCTGTTGCCCCTCACCCTGCAGCCCACCTTCCGTTCTCAACCCTGGGTCCTGCCGCACCCTCTGGGTTCTCAAGAAACCTGTGGTACTATTAAGACAAACTGGTGGGGTTCCTGGACACTCAGAGAGAAAGGGGAAAAGCCCGAAGTACCCCCCTCGCTGGCCTCAGAGAGCAGAAGGGCTGCGTCAGCCGCGACGCCGGCTTCCCCTGGGCCCCGGCTCAGAACCGAGGTGGGCCCCCCAGCCCCCGCCGCAGCGCACGGCCGGCGACGTCCACCGTGCGTCTTGTTCTGTGTGTCCGCGCGGACGCTCTTCTGATCTGCCCTGGGCAGACGTCAACACACGTTCGAGTAAAAAAAAAAAATTCTGAGAGGCAGAGGACCCCTCCTCCCGGCCTGGGGCTGACACCTGGCAGACAACTGGTCTGGTCCTCGGGGAGCCCCGGGGAGCCGCACACCAGCTGCTCCCGTGGCCCCCCCCTCGGAATCGTGACTTGTGCTTTGACTAACTCCACGTCACATCGGGGTGGCCACTTTGGAGTTATGCTAATCAATCTGCAGAAATAAAGAAAGTGAAGCAAAGCCGGACACGATTCTGGTCAGACTCCCGACACGGCCAGGGCCCTCGTGGCCAAGGAGCCGTGGCCGCGTGGCGCCGGAGGGGGGCAGGGATCTGTATGAAAAGAGTTGCTCTACCTTTCAAGCCCAAGCGGGGGCACCGGACAGACACGGCTGGGCCGTCTCACTGCGTCAAAGAAAGGAAAAGAGGAGCGAGCACTGAGTCCGCCCGAGGGCCGCAGACCGAGGAGGCCGTGTGCCGGGCCTGGTGTGAGCTGCCCGGCCGGCAGAGGAGGAGGCTCAGGAGGTATCCGGAGTACACCGGGGTCTGCCTGTGAGCCAGGCCCTGCGCCGAGCCGACGAGGAGTCTCTGGGTCTGGAGAGTGAGGTCGCCACATGCTGGGAGGCAAGCTGTGAATCTTTCCACGTTAGAAAAACTCCCTCCCCGTGTCCCCCGTCGGACAGAAACAACCCGAGAAACCACAGGAGAGCTGGGGATTTTCGAGGCCCGTGCCGGGCCCCGCCGCAGGCTCGTCCAGCATTGCTGTGGGCACCAGGAGACGACCCCCTGGAACGGGGCTGGCGTTCACCGACCCTGCCCGGCCATCCCAACGCTGCAGAAGGAAGCCCATCTCTATTTATAACAAGAAGTCTGTCCGGGTCAGGAGCAGCCTTATCTGTCCAGGAGCTGTTTCAAAGCCCTTTCGATATTCATCCTGTGTCCGACACGCGTCACCCCCAGATCGATCAGGTCCTCCTTCTGGAGGTTTGGGAGGTGGCTGCCGTCGATCTCGTTGTCCATGAAGGCCTCTTTATGCTCCCCCAGGTTCAGACTCTCCAGCCAATCGGCCACGTCGGGCTTAGTCCACAGGTGGACAGGTTTAGTCGTAAAAGGTTTACTCGAGATTGGCTGTTGCGGTACCGAGGGAGACGGGGACCGGCTGCGCCCCGCCGGGGCCAGGCCGAACAGGTCCCCGGAAGGGGGCTGGCTGGGAAGGCTGAAGACCTCGGAGAGCGTGGGAGACGCGGAGGCGGCCGCAGACAGAGGGGCAGGCAGGACCTCTCTGTTCATCTCCGTCGGCGACACCACAGGGCTCGGGGCACGTCTGGTTCCTGAGGTCCTGCTCTCGTAGTCCCGGCTCTGCAGGGTGATGGGCTGAGAGGTCCCAGGGCGCACGGTGAAGGTGACCGTCGTGCTCCGTGTCCCTGAGACGGTGCTCATGACCTCCGGGCTTCTGGGGGGCAACAAGAGAGAGCGCGCGTCACAAGCCGGGTCACGGAGCCGGTCGGCAGGGTGCAGGTGGCCCGGGAGGGGGCGCGGACACCCAGATCACACGGGGGCGTCTAACGGGAGCCCCGAGGGCAGAGAGGCCGCGGTCTGCCATGCCGGGATTGGGCAGGGGAAGGGGCTGGGGTGGGGGGACAGACACAGCAGTGCACACAGGCAGCCCCCCCACAGGACCCCAGGCTGGGGAGCGTGAGGGCGGTGAGGGCGGCCAGGGGGCTCTCTGGTGACATCGCAATACACTGGGCCCTCATCTGGGCAAGCGCCTGTCGGGCCTTTGGTTGGAGAGGACAGCACACCCCACGGGCTGGCCCCGCTCCTCGGGTGGGAGCCCACAGGTGCTTGGGGCTCTGGGGTTTGAGGGGATCCACCAAACCAGCGAAGAGGAGCCGCTGACCCAGTTCAGCACAGGACCTGGCATGGAGGGCTGGCTGGGCCGCGCTCTGCGGGGGGAGCCCCACCCCGAGGCCCACACCCCAAATATGAGAGGAGGGCCTGGGCCCCTACCGCTGTGGGGCGGGGACAGGGACAGGCTCCGCTCTTCCTGGGTCAGCGGGGTGTCTGGGGGCTGCTGAGGGAGGTGAGCACTTCTCAGTGCCAGAGAGGCGCCGAGTCTCCCGCTCACCCGCAGGGACTCGGTCTTTTGCACACAGCACCCTCGGGGCAGGGACGGGGCTCATCTCTGCTGCCCCAGACTGGGTCCTGCCCACCCCACGCCCCGAGAAAACACAGCCCCTGGGGGATGGGAGAGTAAGGGCGTCTTCTGCCTTTGGGGCTCACGCCACCAATGTGGAGAGACACCTGTCCCCTCTGGAAGGAGCCATCCTACCGTGGGTCCCTCTCCGAGTGGCCTCGTGGGCATGTTCACGGGGCCCTGGCCCCGCCCGAATGCCAGGCAGGCAGGTTGAGCCTGGGGTCGTGTTCTGGGGGCGGGACTGTTCTGGGGGCGGGGTGCTCGGCACGGCGGACAGGCAGTGGGGAGAGGGGTCGAGAGCCCGAGAGCCCAGGGAACAGCCGTGTGAACTGCGGGCTGAGCTGGAGACGGGCCGCCTGCCTCCGTGAGCTCTGTGCACGGACGTGCGTGTGGGCGAGACCACCGACCGGTCACCTAGGAGCCTGTCAGCCTTGCCCCAGGCCCCACTGATGGTGCCGCTGTCACCCCAGGTCAGGTCAGGACAGGTGAGGAAGCAGCTGACTCCAAAAGGGGGCCCCAGGGGCTTCTGTCTTGTCCTGAGGGGAACCATCTCCACGGCAGGGGGCCACACCGGCAGGGACTCCGCCACCCACCGAATGTCCACGGGTACTTTTCTGGGAGGCCGGAGGGCCAGGGCGAGATTGGTTCCACATAAGAGGGCCCCGTCCGGAATCGGGGGTGAGCGCTGGCTCGGGCGAGCGGCCGCCCCGGTTATGCCGGCGGGTGGAGGTGTGGGGGCCGCCCGGTTAGGCTCCAAGGACCGCGGCTGCTCCATGGCCAGGTCAGTGCCCGAAACCAAGACACGGCAGCCTGCTGGCCTGGGGCCCCCCCTGCAGGAGGGACAGGTTCCTGAGGGCGGGGGCTGGGGGCTCAGCGGGATGAGAAGCCCGCACCTTCCGGTGCTCAAGAAGGACCCCCCTGGGCAGAAGCCCGAGCTGCTGGGACGTCCCTATGGGGGGGGGGCGGGGAGTCCCTCACGGGGAGCTGCGTCTGCAGCTCGGGGGCGTCTGGGGAGCTCAGGTGTTCCATTGCGCTGCAGGCGAGCTCAGGGGCCCAAACATCAGGAGGTGACCTGTTAACGAAGGCCAAGGCCCTTGGGGCAGAGGTGTTTTGTCGAGGGGGTGACATCCTACAGCAACACCCCCATCAGGTGAGAACGCTTGGTGCTTTCTCTAACGGTGACAACCTGGTGACCCTGTACTGTCACCCCCGAGCCACAGCGACCGCCTGACTCCGGGCGGCACCCACCGGGGGCGTCTCTGAGCCGGAGGACAGTGCCAGCGCCACCCTGTGGAAACACCCCAGTGTCCCCAGGTGGGGCTCCGAGGGGCTCTGCAGACCCGGGACAGCGAGGAGGGCACAGCACACAGCAGACGGCAGAGCACCTGTGCACACGACTTACTTCCGTTCAGCACGCCCCTCTTCTGGCGACACCCACGGGGGAGCCAATGAAAATGACAAAATGGAATGACTTGAGACACCACTGCAAAATCAAGTCAAGTTAAAGAAAAAAAAGACGCCTGTTTCGATGGATGACGCGGAAGGGGGCTCAGACGCTGCCTGGGACGCTCTCCTCGCCACGGAGGGTGGCGGCCCACGTCACCGTCCACGCCACGGCCCAGCGTGGTGTCCCTTCTGTGTTTAGGAAGGGACACTGGCAACCTGCCCTCTTCGGTCTGGGATAACGTGAATCTACAGATTCATGACTTGCAGGAAACGGCTAAGAAAGAAGCAGCGTCCCTGGGGGCACAGTCCTCTGCTCGACCTGCTCTGGGAGCCGCCAGCACTCTGCCGGGGGCTGGGCTACTGGGGAAGGGTGAACCAACGTTTCCGGGGGCAGGGTCCCCACCGGAGGGCCCCCACCGGCTCAAGCGCTCCGCTTCCATCTGCGCTGCGAGACCGGAGTGGGCAGCCAGTGCTGGGGCCGCCCGGTCTGGCCCTGCGCTCGGGGCCTGCCCAGCCCCTCGGGTGTCACCGTGGGGAAGAATCTCCAGGGTTTGCAGAGCAGACGGGGGCTGCCGGGGCTGCCCGTCCGCCCTCCCCGCAAGTCAGTCGCTGATTTACTCGGGTGCATCTCACTGATGTTCTTCACCGGGTCCTTGGTTGCCGAGAGCGCTGTGTTGCTAAGCAACCCCCGGGCTCTTGGGTTGAACACACAGGCGTGCGCTGCCCTGATCTGGAGCGGAAGCACATGCTCACGCACACACGCTCACGCACACACACGCTCACGCACACACGCTCATGCACGCACACGCACACACACACTCATGCACACACATGCTCATGCACACGCTCACGTACACGCTCACGCGCTCACGCACGCACACGCTCACGCACACACGCGCACACACGCTCACGCACACACACGCTCATGCGCACACGCTCATGCACACACACGCTCACGCGCACACACGCACACACGCTCATGCACACACGCTCACGTACACACTCACGCACACGCTCACACACACGCGCACGCTCACACACGCGATCGCACACGCACTCTCTTTCAGGCCATTTAAATCAAAGCCCGTGTGAGACTCGCACATTAAAACAAGCACCGAGAGCTGGTCAGCACTGAGGTGCGCTCCCCGCCGGCCGGATGCAGGGCCAGGGCTGGGAGTTAACGCCCCGGCGGCCTTTTCACAGATTCCGGTTGGCCGATGCAGGGCGGTCATCGCCCCTCGTGAGGGAGCTGGCCGGGCTCCTGAACCCCCAGCACGGGCTCTGCGGGCCGTCCAGCCAGACTGCGGCGCGCCCGCTACCCTCGAGCTTTCGGGAGGTCCCCTCCCTCACGCAGAAAAGGGCACCTACGTCCAAGCTGCAGGGCACCCCCACAGGTGGGGCACTGAGTCTCAGCAAGTCCGCCGAGGCCTGCGTGTCGGGGTGCTACTCCACGCCTCTCGATGGCTGCAGGGGCACCTCAGGCCCTCTGCACAGGGGAGCCCCCCCCCCGTCGCCCACGGGCTCCGAGCAGTGTGCGGGGCTCGGTCTGTCTGCAGTCCCCAGGGCCTGGCCCACAGCGTGTCCTCTAAGTAATCGTCGGGTGCACGTCATCAAGCTCATTTTCCAGAACAGGAGGTCAGGTGCCCGGAACCAGGGGTGCGGCGGGTGGAAGCCCACATCCAAGCTGGGCAAGAGGGCGCCCACTTTCAGGGAGAAGGGCTCACCCCAATGCACCTGTGGGGTGGCCCCGACACCCAGACTCACGACAGAATGTGAGCTGGACCCGGCGCGGGGGAGGCGCGCCCGCCGGGCCAGGAGAGCCTTTTGGGAGTCTGTCCACTAGGAGCACAGGGAAGGCGGACTCCACCATCGCCCCCGACCGTGTCCGCCTGGTGACCTGCTGCTCTGTTCACAGACGTCACCTGACCACTGCAGCCGGCACGTGAAATGACAGCACACCGTTCTGTCACTCGGCAGCTGGGTATCGGGCTGGTTTTGGAGTCTGTGCCCCAGGACCAGCTGGGTGGACATCATTTGTTAACAACCGAACTGACTGATTTTGAAAGAAGCGGCCCTCACCTCGGGGCTATGCCGCAGAGCGCGCGGACGAAGAGGAGGCAGCGGCGGGCACGGGGCCTTGGGAGGGGAGCCGGAGGCCGGAGTGACTCTCCTGAGAACCGCCCTGTGCTGGGACCTCCAGGAGGCCTGAACCCCTCAGCTGCCGCCAAGACCTAGGGCTCCCTGAGGTGACTCTCCTCCCCATGCCCATCTGTGCCTCCGGGGGTGAAGGCCAGTCTCGAGTCACCTCTGGACGCACTGCAAAGTGCTAAGTGACCTAGAGGAGCCCGGGGGCCCCAGCAGATGCCGAACCCTCTGGACGGAAGCCAGAGGGGACCCCACCGCACCTGGTCACCGCTCGGTTCCTCCCGACACACTAGAAAAACGTCCTTTTCGCTCCCACAGGTGCTGACGAAGGACAGGGTTTTCCTGCTTGAGAACCGATGCCCGGTGTCGTGTCAGTGTGCACGTCGGGCCAGCTGCCATGGTTCTGGGGGCTCCTGGCTGGGTCCTGCCTGGACCCGGGGCAGCCTGCGCGCCGTCCGCTCCTCCCGTGGCCGCCAGCCTCCTGCCTCTGGCCAGGTCTTGGCTCCGGGGCACTTCTGGCCCCTGCTCCACACGTGGTGCCCGGTTTTCCACGGAGCTGGCTCCTCCGTGGTCAGGTCTGTTCAGCTGTCGCTCGAGGAGGGTCAGCTCCTTCCTGTGCACGGTCAGCCCAGTTGCCCTTGCTCCTCTGAAGCTCTTGGTCTGCGTTCCTTCGAGAACACAGCGCGCCCCGGGGGGACAGACCGCGTGTGCTTCCTTGTTGAGCGGTCAATCCTGGGACCAGACGCGGTGCAGGCCCGGGAGAGGCCCCCTCGCCGTCAGATGAAGGACTAATGACTCACGCTGCCCCAGCTCCGAGGGCCCAGGCCTCCTCGACGGCGCCTCTCCTGTGACTGCCCTCCCCCAGGCTGGGCTCCGGCCGGGCCCCAGGACCCCGGGTCCACTCGGCTCACAGCTCTTCGACTTGGGGAAGGCCACTCAGAAAAGCCCACGCATGCAGGTGACCGGCCGAGGGGTTCTGCACAGGAAGGGGCAGGGGTGATGGTGCTGCCCACACCCACACTCGTGCTCCTGGCTCTGAGCTCCCCGGGGGAGGCCTGGGGCCTGCGGGTGCCAGCCCTGTGCCACGGTCTCCGGCAGGATGGGGTGGGTTCTGCCGAGCAGAAGAACAAGCCAACGTCTCAGAGACCTGTGTTCCCTTAAACCAGCTTCTTTTTCATGGACCTGGTGTGACAGCTCCTGACAGGGGCGGCCCTCCTGGGAAGCTCAGGCCGGGGCGGAGGATCACTTCCTCTGCAGCTGCCCAGGGCTGCAGGCCTAGCGGGGGCCGTGGCCAGGCCGCAGGACGTGCCTGGCAGGGCCGCTGAAGGTGGCCACCGTCCTGCGTCACCCCTCCAGTCTCGTGCTCAAACCCACGTTCCAGGTAAGCGGCCCCTCAGTCCCCCTCCCGTCCTGCCTGGCTCCGAGGCCGTGGGAGTCTCCGGAGGGTCATGGGGACAGAGCCCAGGGTGACAGGCGCGGCCACGCGGCCACACTCAGGGCGGGGCCTGCCCCTCCGCCAGCAGACAGCTGGGGGCAGCTCCAGAAACCGTCCCTTCCGTGGGCCAGAACTTTCCGTGGAAACGGTTCCGCCTTCCTGCTTGTCGGTCAGTTCAGGGTAGAGCGTTCTCAGTTTCCCCCAGAGAACCCCATTCCCCCAGTAGGAATCCCCTCCCCCCAGTCTCCAAGCCTCCTTCTGCCTGGGCTATTCACAGCCCTCGAGGCTGACGCCTCTGAAGCCCAGCGTGGCCCAGGCAGGGGGTCCCAGGCAGGGGGTCCCAGGCAGGGGGTCCCAGGCAGGGGGCATTCCTTCTGTCTGGTCTTCACCCAGCCTGTCAACCGCCACGAGGCAGAGGCAGCCCGAGAGGCTTGCCTTGGGGGTGCGCCTGTGGGAGGCGGACGCATGCGGGGTGCTGCCTGTCCACAGAGGGCAGGGTGAGCTCCGCCACACCCTCGGCAGCTCTGCCCCGTAGCCCCCACCCCTCCCGAGCTCCAGCCCCGCCTGGGGAGTATAGCGAGGGCCATCGGTCCGTCCGTGTGCCGTGGGACCCGGGTGCCTGGCCAGCTCCTCAGTCCAGGAGCCGTTCTCGGACGTGAGCCCGATTGCACACGGCTGGTGCTCTGGGCTCACGGGGCTCGTGCGTGAGCAGGTCCACCCTGCACGGAAGGTGAGTGCTTCGTCTGCTTTGCTGTGCTGTGCGTCACCCCGCAGTGGGGGCCTGTGCGGCGGAGACCTCGCCGCCCGGCCGGGAATCCTAACAAACTCATGTCCTTCGAGGCCAGCGCTCTGGGTGGTTTCTCTGGAATCAGCAAGCGACGCGCTCAGGCCTCCGCGGCCCTCGGCTCTTTGCGGGGGTCGTCGACGCCTGCTCCCTGCCCCCGTCATCGTGAAGGAGTCACCCGCGTGAAGGCGGTCTGCGAGCCGGGAGACCCCGCGCGTCTGCACCGAGGTTCCACACTGTGGCAACCGGAGAACCGTATCGTCGCGAGACAGGGACTCGCTACAGTAGCCAGTTCCTGAGATTCCTTCGGACTCCTGAGTCTCTGCTCCGTGTAGGTCCGTGTGTACGGACGTCCTCCGGACGCAGGGAAGGTGAAAGACGTCCTCTCCGACCGCCGGGTGCCCCGTGGAGGGTGGCGCGTGGGCGGGCTTCTCTCCGCCGAGGCTGGCCCGTCCGTGTCTCTGAGGGGCAGTGGGAACCGTCCACGTCATGTATTTGCATCCACACCACAGGGGCACCGGGGAGCCGGGCTCAGCCCGCATCTCGAGCCCAGCGGTGGTGACACCTCCAGGGAAGGGACCGAGGAGTCACCTGAAGCACCTGCCCCGCAGGAGCGTGAAGACGACGCCATCGGTCAGAAGGGCGAAACCTGAGCGCAGGCATCAGGGGGAGAAACCCACTGGGGACCACACAGCCGGGCGACCACAGGACGAAGACCGAGGACCGGGAGGCTGGGGGCAAAGGCTTGGTGAGAATGATCGATGACCCAGGAGCCGCAGGCAGGCGGAGAGGCCCAGGTGAGGGGTGCCTGGCCAGGTCCAGGGAGGACGCCTCTTACTCCACCTCCAGTCCCGGTGGCGATAACTAACTCTACGGGGTCCAGTGAAGAGCTGACCCGGGACAACTGGATGCATTTCTTCCCCGAGCCCTGCCTGCTGGGGTGAGATGGGCTGTCGGGTGGGGGTGCCTTCCCCTCCGATTCACTGGCGGAGCCACAGCCCGGCCCCTCCCAGCCTTCAATCAGCGAGCGGCGGGAGGAGGGAGAAGAGCCACACACGTGTTCACACACGCCCACCACACATGTTCACCGTCCCCCCACCACACATGGCCACCGTCCCCCCACCACACATGGCCACTGTCCCCCCACCGCGCATGTTCACCGTCCCCCCGCCACGCATGGCCACCGTCCCCCCACCACACATGGCCACCGTCCCCCCACCGCGCATGTTCACCGTCCCCCCGCCGCGCATGGCCACCGTCCCCCCGCCACGCATGGCCACCGGCCCCCCACCGTGCATGGCCACTGTCCCCCCGCCACGCATGACCATGTCCCCCCACCACGCATGTTCACCGTCCCCCCGCCACGCATGGCCACCGGCCCCCCACCGCGCATGTTCACCATCCCCCCACTGTGCATGTTCACCGTCTCCCCACCACACATGGCCACCGTCCCCCCACCGCGCATGTTCACCGTCCCCCCGCCGCGCATGGCCACCGTCCCCCCGCCGCGCATGGCCACCGGCCCCCCACCGTGCATGGCCACTGTCCCCCCCGCCACGCATGACCATGTCCCCCCACCACGCATGTTCACCGGCCCCCCACCGCGCATGGCCACCCCCAGCGGCTCGGCGGAGCTCGGCTTCAGCTTCTGCAGGGCTCTAGGTCTTTTGGGCCGTCCTGGCAAAGATCTGGACATGGAAAGAGAGTGGGCAGAGCCGCACTCGGGAAGCCAGGCGTTGGTGGACGGCACTGGGTTACGCGTCTGCACCCGGGAGTGCCCGTCCCGCCAGGAGGGGTGGGCTCTTTGCTTGGCTGCACCGGAGTCCAGGACAGCTCAGAGGCTCGGTGAACCCCTCTTCACCTGAACCCGTCTTCACGCCGCGGTGGCTGCTCCCCGGGCCACCTCCTGGTCACACCGCCCGGCGTGGAGAGCTGCGTCGGAGCCGCCTGCGGACTTACCTGGGCGCGAGGCCGGCCGGCTTGGTCCCTGCGGGCGAGTCCGCGGCTTCGCCTGGCTTGGCCGATTTCTCTCGGTTCATTTGCTGCAGGATTGAGTTCAATTCACTGATCACGTTTGCCTTTGGGCCCGAGAGGATCGGGCTCCGGATCTCGGAGACGTCACCCCACAGCTTGGAGGTCCTTGGCTGGATCCCCTTCCCGGGCCCGGGCTGGACCCCGCCCGGCGGGGGCGGGGGCGCGGGCGGGGGGACCCCAAAGCTGTCCACGTCCTCTTCCAGCAGCGCGTCTTGGTGAAGCGCGTTGCCTTTGTGGATGACCGGCTTCACTTTTGGCTTCGGGGGGACGGGGGGCTTGTCGACCACGAACGCCTGCCCGTCTGCGTGGACGGTGGAGGTGTCCATGCTCTCGGCCCCTTCGGAGGACAGGGTGGAGATGCTGGACACCGTGGAGATGGTGCTGGTCGTCTCGAGGTGGTGGTCGCTGCTGCTCCGGCTGTCCACCTCCTCGATCCCCGAGTCCGTGACTGTGTCGAAGTTCTCGGGCGGAGGCAGGAATGAGGCGGGCAGACAGTTGGAGAGGCCGGCCGGCTTCTTACCGTCTGCGGAGTTGGTTGGTTGGCTGGAGTTCAAGGAAGGGGGCGGGGAGGCGTCGTTTTTTTTCTGCTTGACCGAGTCCGTGAGGGGGGCGGCGGCAGCAACGCGGTCGTCGGGGGTATCAAAACTGTTGGCAAATTCCAGGGGAGGGGGCAGTGGTTCTGTGAAGACAAAATCCTCGTCCAGGTCCACGGAAGCCAGAGGCGGGGGCGGGATGCGGAATGGCAAGATCACCACCTCCTCCAGGGAGCCCGCCGCCACCATGATCCTGCCGGGCGTGGTGGCGGCGGGCTCGGGGCCAGCGGAGATCGGTAAAGCACCTTCGGTTTCGGGGACACCTTCTGGCACCCCAGGCAGCGCGCTGTCCGGCTGGGCCTCCACGTCGGCGTTCTCTTCCTCCTCCTCCAGGAAGTCGCCCGGCTTGGCAGCGTCCACCGTGTGAACCATGAGCAGCCCGGCCGACTTCTGCTGCGACGTGTCCACGATGTTGATCAACATGTTCTTCTTGTTGTCGTCCTTGCGGTCTTTGCCCGGGTCGCTCTCGTACTTGTTCTCCGTCTCCTGCCGCCTCAGGGGCCCCCGGGTGTTCTGCCTGGCGACCGTCGGGAAGCCTGCCTCCATGCTGGGCCGCATTTTGGTATCGATGTAGAGAGGTTTGTGGAGGTCGGCCTTGGGGGCCTCCCCCTTGGCGCCCTGCTGCGACTCCTTCATGGCTCGGTCCCTCGCGGAAAGTGCCAGGGCCAGCGGGGAGCTGGGGTCCAGCAGCCTCCCCGTGAGGGGGTGGACGTAGTTCTCGGGGCTGGCTGCGCTGCCGCTCTTGGGGGGCGCTGTGGGGCTGCCATCGGGCCCCTTGGCTTTGGACATGGAATTCGGCGGCCGGCTGGCCTCACCCTGAGCTCCGGCCTCGCCAGCACCCACAAAGTGGCTCTCGGGCTCCCTGGGTGCTGGCCCTGGCGTCGTGGGCAAGGACAGCTGCTCGGCGCCCTCCTCCTCGCCGAAGCCGCCCTCCTCCGGGAACTTGGGGGGCGGCCCCCGGGGGGCAGGAGGCCCCAGACCCACGTCCTCGTCCCCCAGGTCCGTGGAGAGGAAGGCGGGCGAGTTCCTCCTGGCTTCCAGCCGCTTCTCCCGGTCGCGCACGGCCCCGGCGATGGCGGCGGCGAAGGGGCTGCTGCTGGTCAGGCTGTCGTCCGGCCGCAGCTGGCCCGGCTGCTCGGGGGCCTGGGGGTCGATCTCCACGCTGCTGCCCTGGCTGCTCTTCCCGCTGCTGCTGGTGGACGGCTCCTTGACGATGATGGTGGGGATGGGGATGGAGCACGTCTTCTCGGGGCTATCCTCCACGTTGGACTGCTTCACCAGCATGCCCTTCCGCCGGGCGGGCTTGGCGGGCACGTACACGGCCTTGCTGGCCATCTTCCCCACCTCCGAGTACGGGTTCTCCGGCATCTGGCCCCGCCTGCCGCGGAGGTTGGCCGGGGCGGCGGGGGCACAGCTGTAGAGGTCGTCGGAGTCCAGCGAGTAGCGGTCCAGCTCTCGGCGGTAGTACATCCCCTTCTCCCTCATCATGGTGGCCACCGTGTCCGAGCGCACGGCCGGCGACACCTTGGCGGCGGGGTTCTGACTGAACGCAGGCTTTATGGTCCCGTAGACCCTGGGCGTCGGGGACTTGGGACAGTTGTAGGTGGTGGGGGAGGGCGGTGGCGGGGAGGGGGGCACGGACTGCGGTGGGGGGGGGATGTCCTCGGACGTGTCCGGCATGGACAGGCTTCTGGTGAACTTCAGCATCGGAGGGGCCAGGAACTGCCGCTCCTCCTCCGTTATTCCTGCAGGGGAGACAGGTTCAGTTGGAAACCACGGCAACAGGTGCCCACTAAGCTCCGAGGGCGGCGCAGTAGGTCTGCACGCTCCCGGCCACCACAGGACACAGCACAAGCACAGCACACGATGCCACGGGGGCCAAGACAAACACGGGAAATGGAAAGGGGGAGGAAGGGGAGGAGGGGGCTCCGAGTGCGTGCTGCTGAGAGGTTCTGCTCTGCCACCAGGGTCGGGGCGCCTGACGCCTCGGGGCTGCGCACACATGTGCAGGTCACGTGTGTGCACGTGCACGGGAGTCAGTGTGTGTTGGGTGGGGCTGGGTGGGTCAGGAGGTATCCATCTTTTTAGGGTTTGCCAGGGCCCCTGGGTATTTTTAGGGTCTTGGGGATGAGGCTGCCTATCTGAAACGAGGGCAAAGGGCGTTAGGGTTGAGGGTGTTGCTGTGTTGGCTGATGTGACATGAAAGGTGCCTGGTGCAGGGAGCGTGGGTGTTGTCAGCCTGCTCGGGTGTGCGGGGAGCGTGGTGTTGTTGGCCTGCTCGGGTGTGCGGGGAGCGTGGGTGTCGGCCTGCTCGGGTGTGCGGGGGGCGTGGGTGTTGTCGGCCTGCTCGGGTGCGCGGGGAGCGTGGGTGTTGTCGGCCTGCTCGGGTGCGCGGGGAGCGTGGGTGTTGTCGGCCTGCTCGGGTGTGCGGGGGGCGTGGGTGTCGGCCTGCTCGGGTGTGGGGGGGGCGTGGGTGTCTGTCTGCTCGGGTGTGCGGGGGGCGTGGGTGTTGTCAGCCTGCTCGGGTGTGCGAGGGGCGTGGGTGTTGTCGGCCTGCTCGGGTGTGCGGGGGGCGTGGGTGTTGTCGGCCTGCTCGGGTGTGCGGGGGGCGTGGGTGTTGTCAGCCTGCTCGGGTGTGCGGGGGGCGTGGGTGTTGTCGGCCTGCTCGGGTGTGCGTGGAGCGTGCGTGGGTTGTCGGCCTGCTCGGTGTGTGTGGGGGGGTGGGTGTCGGCCTGCTCGGGTGTGTGGGGGGCGTGGGTGTCGGCCTGCTCGGGTGTGCGGGGGGGCGTGGGTGTTGTCGGCCTGCTCGGGTGTACGGGGGCCGTGGGTGTTGTCGGCCTGCTCGGGTGTGCGGGGAGCGTGGGTGTTGGCCTGCTCGGGTGTGTGTGGAGTGTGCGTGTCGGCCTGCTCGGGTGTGCGGGGGGCGTGGGTGTTGTCAGCCTGCTCGGGTGTGCGGGGGGCGTGGGTGTTGTCGGCCTGCTCGGGTGTGCGGGGAGCGTGGGTGTTGGCCTGCTCGGGTGTGTGTGGAGTGTGCGTGTCGGCCTGCTCGGGTGTGCGGGGAGCGTGGGTGTCGGCCTGCTCGGGTGTGCGGGGAGGCCTGTCCACTTTAGCTGCGACGCTGAGAAGGTCTCACCCAACGTGGCAGGGACCCCGCTTGTTTTCTGACTTCTCTCGGCCGTCAGGGCTCGAGGGCACTGAGCTCCCTGGGTCTCGGGAGGATGAGGATTTGTGAGGGGAGGGAGGCTGACCCCGGCCCAAGACCCCGGCCCGGAGCAGGATCCTGAGCAAGGGCTCGGCTGCGGGGCCTCCCGAGGCTCTAGAACGGGTTCCCTGAGACCCTGTGGGGCGCAGTGGTTCCCTACATCCACGATTAGCCGGGGTCCGGCGCAGCGGGCATCCCTGCCTCCTGGGCCCTGACCATCTGGGCGTCGACTCGGTGAGACTCTCCGACTCTTTCCCACAGTCTGAGCCGTGAAACATCAACAGAACGCACTGCAGGAGACAGGAGCCACACACAGACGCGGACACGCGTGACGTCGTGTGTTGTGTCGGGACATGCAGGTGTTCCAAAGGGGCCACAGGATGCATCACTTCAAATAAAAAAATCTGGAGCAAACTACAATCGGGGTTTCCAAGGAGATCCCGTCGATAAGGGTATTCCAAATTCCGCATACTCCTTGTGGGGGCATTTGGGCCCCCGGGACAGGTCGCCGGAGGCCTGTGCTGACCATGCGCTACGTGTTGGGTGCGGACAATTGCGTTCCCAAGGAGTAACAATTTGAGAATACACCTTATAGAGCAAACCGGCTCACATTCAGATCACAGAGGCCACGCGGCAGGTGCACTGACCTGATAGAAAGATTCTGCTGTCTGATAGGAGGAAAGCAGCGGTTATTAACCCGTCCGAGGGCCAGCGGCTCCGCGCGGCCCCGAGCCCCCGGCCGGGTGCGTCTTAGGAACAGCAGACGCTGCCTCTACGCCTTAAACTAGGGACAAGGAAGCCGCGCCTGGGGGTGTTTCCACACCCCAGCCACGTCCTGAGCGTGGCCGGGCACTGTGGCTCACACTCGTCTCTCTGCGTGGCCTGGGCCTCTCTGAGGGTTTACGTGGTACAGACAGTGCTGGGCTATCTCACTGGGTCACGAGGGGCTGTCTGAGGGTCACGGTCACCCCGCCTGGAGCCGTCAGTAGGGATCAGCGTGATGTTCACAGGAGAGGAAGTAGCTTACAACACACGGCGAGGACAGTTTTATTGGAAGTCGAGAGCCTGGCCCTGCCCCCTCACAGGTGTCAGCTGAGCTCACCCCACACACATGGCAGCGGCCGGCAGGGACACGGAGACACGGCACCCGCTCCCGCTGCCCCCCGAGCCCCCCTCCATCCGGCCACGAGCTCCCCCACCCTGTTGGTGTCACAGGTGCTTGGCTGGCACGACTGGAGGACCACCCAGGATTTTGCGTCCAGCGGGTGAGACCGGGCGCACGCCCTCGGGTGGGCGGACCTGGGGTGGCTAGGGCACGGCTGAGGGGCTCCGCGAGCCAGGGGCGAGCTCCCTGCGGTGCGGCCAGGCTGCTTACCTATTGATTTCTGCCTTCGCATCGTACCTCGAGGGAGGCCCAGAAACGGGCCCTTCGGGCTCCCTGGGACAGTGGGTGTCAGCACAGCGATCCCCTGGCGTTCGTACACGGACTGCAAACCAGAGTGACACGGACGTGACACGATGTCCTTGGGCGTGAACACCTGTCCCGTGGCGTCCCGGGCTCCTTTCGCGCACACGGAAGTGTGCAGCTGAGGCCCGAGCACTGGCCCGCGTCCCAGCCGTGGCCGGAGACCCCGGGGAGTTTCCTCCGTGGGGCTCGGATTCGGGCTGCGTGTCCGGACAGGGTGGGGAATGTTACCCGAAACCGTGGGGATGGCCCTCAGCCCTGGCCACCATGGGGAGGGGCCTGGGGCCCGGCCCACTGCCCCGGCCCGGGGAATGGCCACTCACGTTCATGTCCGAGACAGGTGGGAAGCACCGGCTGGTGGGACGCTGCTTGATGGTGGCCACCCTGGACTCCACGGACACGTTCTCCACGGCTCGAGATGGCTTGGAGGCGGGGACTATCTCATCGGGTTTATCTGCGGGGTGAACACGATCGGCATTGGCATCAGTGGCTGAAGCCCCCGAAACACAACCGGGGGGCGGGGCTCAGGAAAACGACCACGTGCCCTCCGCGTCTGGACGTGGCGTGTGACGGCTGGGCCTCCGAAATCGCCTGTCCCTGTGGTGTGGGGTGTGCGGTGCGTCTCTCCGCCACACGCAGACAGGACCCGTTCCCCAAACCCTGGCCCCAGAGGGCACACGCAGACAGGACGGGGACGAAGACAGCCATGCAGCCTAGCCACCGAGGTGTGGCGCCCCGAGAGCCCCGTGCTGGGCCGAGGCCCCGTGTTCACCGAGGACACAGATGTCTGAGGGTTAACTAATCCCGGGCTCAGAGCTGTGGGGTCCTCGTGATCTGATACAGGTGCCAGGGCTCAAGGACCCGGCACCTGGGCAGCGCGGGCGGGAGGAAGTGGGGAGCGGTGGGAAGCCCCCGACCATGCCGCTTGGGGAGACCCCACTGGCCCCTCCGCAGCGGAACATTCTCCTTGTTTGTGACAAAGAAAGGCAAGGGGTAGTTATCAGTGACCCTCGCACCTTAAGGAACCGCTTCAAACACTGACATGGAGCACAGAGATCTGTCTGGAAGCTGAAGTGCATCCCAGAGCTGCCCGAGCGGACATGAGGTCTCCTGGGGACGCGCCGGCCCAGTGCAGTCACCTGCCAGGCAGCAGCTACCCACCGGCTGGCGCGGAGCCCGTGAGGTGCAGCCCGGCGGGCATGGCCCATTTGGGACCTCCAGAGACACAGCCCCCCACCGCAGGCCACCCAGAACGTTCTACCCTCCGGCCTTAGGACAACTCCTGGGCAGCCCTGACCTGTGCCGGGGTCGGGCCATCGAAAGGGGCCTGACCCCACCGGGGGGCTGGAGCTCTGGGCACTGAGCTGCTAGGAACCGTGATGGCCACTGTGAGCTCCTGGAGCAGCCCCCAAGTTCCCGGCCAGGGGCCCTTCGGGAGGGAGGGGCTGTGAGGCTGGGCTGCCCAGGCAGGCACCCAGCAGAGCTGCCCAGCCGCAGCCTCGCGGGCCGGCGGGGACGCGACCCTGGTTCATCCCTAGCAGGAGCCCGACTCCGGCTGGGTCCTGCCAGGGGCCCGCCGTCCATGGCCTGAACCCTGAACCCTGCCCTCCCTGTTCTTGGCCCTGGGCCCAAGGACATTCGAAGGAGAGGAAGGAGAACGAGGTCCCTGAACCCAGGACACTACCTGGGCCTTCATGGACGACTGAGCAGGCGGACTGCGGTCCCGGGCCCCTGCCCTCGAAATGCCCCGGCTCAGGCAGAAGCTCAGGGAGGCCCGTCCCCGGACACAGCTGCCATGCCCCTCGGCTCCCGGGCGCCCTCCCATGGTTCCGGGACCCAGATCTCCGGGCTCTCTGCCGCCTCGTCTGGGGGGCATTTTCTTCCCCTCACGGATGTTGGGGGACACTGATGTCGCCCCTCAGGGAATTGGTGGGGACACCCCCCAGCTAGTCACTGTCCCCAGCCCCCTCCCCCCTGCCCACTGAGAATCCCGCCCTTGCCTGTGTTCAAGCCCCAGGGGTTCAAGCCCCTGCTCACCCCCCGGGACCCTCCGCCCCGGGACCCTCCGCCCCGGGACCCTCCGCCCGGGGACCTGCTGCCTGGTCTTCTCTCTCCTCAGGTCCACCCCTTCGTCCCCAGTGCCAAGCTGTGCACCCCAACCCCCATCCCAGTAATCTGCCTCCAGGGAACCTTCCCTTACAGATCAGCGTGGGAATCTCTCTGCGGCTGGTATTTAGCTTGTTCTGTGCGGGTCTCTCCGCCCCCCGGACCCCCCGGGCCCCCTGGCAGGGCCTCACTCCCCTCCACCACCACCACGACGTCCGCCGGCTCGGGGAGCTCCGTCCACGGGCTCCTGCGTCTTCACCCCTCTCTGCTGCAGCCTGGCCCGGACCCGGCCACCCGCCCAGGGGGCCCGAGTTAGGACAGAACAGCCCCAGCCCAGCAACACACCCGGGACAGGATCCGTTCTGTGCCGGAGTCCACCGGCCAGGTCTGGGGGAGGCTCTGGCTTCCAGGGCCCTCGGGAGCCATGTCCCCCCGTGGGGCAGCTGCACCCTGCCCCAGCACATCGAGACCTGTATCCAGCAGCCTGGAGCCCCAGCTGCCGAGAACAGGCAGCACACGGTGCTGCGGGCCCCAGGGCCTGCGACAGGCACCCCAAGAACGAGCCTCGATGGCGGGTACGCCCCGCGAAGTCTTTGCGACGGTCCGGCCCTGTGGGAGCCCCAAGGACCTTCGCCCTGTTCTGCATCCTGACAAGAACCTGGCCGTGGGGTGGAGGTGGGGCTGAGCCCCACTTTTTGGAGAGAACACTTGGGGTCTGAGATGCTTCAGGTTCTGCAGGTGGAAATCTGGGTCCAGCCGGGAGTCCGGGCTCGAGCTGTGGGCACCACACTCCGTGCCTCCTCCTTGGGCCAGGGGCCAAGCCCCGGGGACAGTGGAAACGCAGGTGACCATCAGAATGGTCTGCCCAGTCCAGCGGATTGAAAAGCGGCCTAGGTTGGGGTGTCGTTGAAGGGCGCCCCAGCGCCGTGGCCACCTTGCGCGTGGACAGCCTTGTCTTGGGTTTCGACCTTGCCCACCCGCAAGGTTCTCACGCGCCGGAGCACTAAAGCGCGTGGCCCGTGGGGAAGCACGCCGGGGCGGCTGCCCTGTCGCAGTGAGAGCCACCTTGGGACACCCCACAGCTTGCCCACGGGCCTGGGCCCCTCCCGGCTGCGGCAGCAGCCCTGCCTCTGAGGGTTCGCTTCCGGAACATGAAGGCGTCTAAGGAGAACGGTGAGCCGGTGGGCTTGGCTCCTCATCCTACTACGTGGGGACTCTCATGCTTAATTCACAGGAGCCCGGAGTGGGGGCTCAGTCCAGGCTGTCCAGGGACGCGGTGAGAGGGTCGGTGCGTCCACCCCGGCCCCGCCGTCTCCGAGTGAAACCTGGGGTGACTGAGAGCAGCCCTGCAGACCGCCGTCACGACTCTGGATCTTGAAACCATCAAGCAGCGAGTTCGCGGCGGTCCCGTACGCAGATGGCAGACGTGGCGTCCACTGTCCACGAACTGCACACTTCCCGGCGTGGGGCTGAGCGTCCTCTGGGGCAGGGAGAGGTCTGTCCAGCGAGGCTGGGTCACACATGGCTCACCCTGGCCCAAGGCGGACACCACCACGCGTCGCCCGCACGCCCTCCTCGGGAGGAATCCAGCGAGCCAGGCGTCAGGGCGCGAGCTGGGCAGGACATCCTCAAAACGGCTCCCGGGGGAAGGCGGGTGTCAGCTCCAGAGGCCAGCGCAAGCGGAGCAGGGATCAGGGCCTGTCGCCTGCTGGCCCCCTGCGGGAGGCGGCGGCCAGGGGTAGCTGTGCTCAGACCCAGCGGACGGCCCTGTGGGTGTGGCCAGAGGTGCCCCTGGCTGGAGGTCGCGGGGAAGCTGGTTCCATCTCAGCTGGCCTGGCTTGGGCCCCGAGCCGCCCTGGGCCGGTGTGGCTGTGTCCTGTTCATCCTCAGGCCCGAGGGCACAGGTCTGGGGACCACAGCAGGCCCTCAGAGCCCGCGAGGACGAAACGAAGCGGTTTTAGGGGCGAGGAAGCGAGACGTCAGGGTCCCAGTCCCGCCCGCGGTCGCTCAGTGGGGGGCAGCTGCTGGGGTGCCCGGACACGGGGCTGTCCCACGGATGTGCCGGTCTTCCCGGACGGCCGAGACGGGCACACCAACCGGCCGGAGCAAAACCACGGGAGTTTCTCCCCACGCGGCCTAAAGGTGAGAACTGGGAAACCCACCTGTCGGGGGGTTGGTTCCTTCCGAAGGCTCCTGGGGAGGGTCCCTCCTGCCTCTTCCAGCCCCTGGGGCCCCGCAGCACCCGTCTCTGCACCGGTCTTACGTGGCCTCCGTGTGGCCTTTCTCCTCTCTCGGAAGGACGCCCATCACTGCATCAGGACTGCCCTACTCCAACGCCCTCGCCTGGATCCTCCTGCAGGGACCTGGTTTCCAAGTCGTGTCCCTTTCACAGGTCGTAGGCGGACATGGATTTGGGGGACACTTCACCCAGGACACCCAGAGGCCCGCTTTTCGCCTATTCCACATGGCCTTTCTGGGGTGTGATGGATGCTTCTTAGGAGGTTAGGCCGACCCTCCTCGGGAGACCAGGGCAGGTGATGACCTGCCCTCACACCTGCCAAGTGCTGGCGCCCCCACTGTGCTCCACAGTTCCGGGGCCCACGGGGGTCCCAGGAGAACTGGGTAAGCCTGGCTGCGGGGCCCTCTGGCACCTTCTCGCCCAGGCACCGACTCCAGGTCTACCTGGGTCAGGGGACATGGGGAGGGGCCATTTGACAGCAGATCTGCACCCGGTTTTCTCTGTCATTCAAAGCAAGGCGTCTCCCCGCCCGGGCTCCCTGTCCCGTGGGTTCCGCCTGCGCCCATGGGGCCGTACGGACCACGACCTGTGTCCTCATCTATTACAGTCTGGGGTGTCTGGCTGCTGGAGGGGTGCCCGGGGTGGGGCGGAGCTGGGGTGGCAGGAGGGGCCGGCCCCAGGCCCTGGTTGCCCGTGACAACAGGCTTTCTGGGTCCAGGAGCCCAAGGCAAAGTGCCTTTGTGAGGACAGTGCAGTGGACAGAGGGACCTTCCGAGATGAGCCTAGTCCCAGGGAGCTTATGGGGCTGACACTGACCGACCCCGGAGAGCCCACGGGGGTTTGAGGCCCAGTACTGCTCCGAGGGGAGGCTGCGGGCCTGGCCAGCACCTGGGGAGTCCTACCCCGGCGATACCGGACCCCCACCACCCCCAGGGACCGCCTCGCTGTATCCCAGACCCCCACCCCAGTGTCAGTGTCTCGAACCCTGCCCCGTGCCTCAGCACCCAAGGTCATAGGCTAGACCTCCCGTGAAAAGGCGGTTTTGACTCAATACTGCTCCTTCTCATTGTTGGGGTGCTGTCTTGAGCAGCAGGCGAGAGCACTCCTGATGCGGGTGCTGCCCGGGGGGGGCCCCACTGTCGGGCACTCGAGGGCCCGTGTCTGTGTGCTCCCAACAGTGGCTGCAGCCCGGGGAGGGGCCGGGCCCCCTGTGTTCCTGCAGGGCCCACAGCCGCCGAGGAGCCAGGGGCTTCCTGGCATCCCTGGGGAGCCACCCGCCCACGGCACAGGGACCAGTGGTCGGGCCCCGCGTGTCCGCACCCTGACGGGCAGGGCAGGCCCAGCTGCGACGCCCGAGAGAGGCTCCCGCAGGCTTCCGGTCACGATGACAAGGACACAGCTGGGGGGGGACGCAGGACATGCCGGGACCACAGACGGGACACGGGAGCAGACGGAACGGAGTGAAAGGGCCGTGTCCCGGAGCTGGGCTCCGCGGGGGCCGGCACAGGGGAGACAGCACAGGCACACTGCACGCCACGGCCACGGCCACGAGGGTTTCCCGTCACGGGGCGTGTGGGGCTGGAGACAGACAGGGGCCGCCCCTTACCCTTCTTCTTCCGCACGGAGGCTTGCAGACAAAAAGGGAGCGTGAGGCCCCGATGGCAGGGCCCACCCAGGGCCCGGGGACGGGGCCCAGCCGCCCCCACCGGACCCGCCCCCACCCCACCGGACCCGCAGCTCAGGGGCCCAGACCTGATGTCTGGAGAGCTGGCCGCCTGGAACCTGCGCTTTCCTTCCTACTCAGCCTCTCCCAGCACCTGCCACGTGGACACCGAGGTCCAAGGGGGGGCAGAAGGGCGGTTCCCAATACGAAGGGCACCCAGGTCCAGCACGGGGAGAGGCCCAAGGGTGGCCGAGGCTCCAGGGACCCCGAGCACTGCCCCTCCGGCCGACTCCACTGAATCCCCTTCACAGGTGAGCTGCCTGCTGGTCCCCTGGGGGTGGGGGGCACCCACCCAGGCCCTCCGGGGAGCTAGCACGGCACACGCCATCTCGGTCCAGAAGGGGACGAGCCATCATTTGCTTTGTCACCCCCACTGGGCACCACAGCGGGCGAGTCTTGCTTGGACGGACGAGACGGGGTTAAGGAGGGGCCAGAAAGAGGGGCTTTCTGGGAAGTCCTGGGGGGGGGGGGGGTGGCGGCCCAGCCGGCCACTCTTTCCTGGAAGACTTGGAACACGGTGGCCGGGAGGGGCGCTGGCTGGGGGTGGCCTGGGCCGGGGAGGACGGTCGGCCCAGCCCACTGTGCCCCCGGTGGATGGAGTGGACGGGACCCCTCCCAGGGGAGCCGCCACCAGGAGGAGCTGCAGCTTTGGGGGGGCAGGGGGAGAGGGACCAATGTTCCCCCAGTGAAGGCCAGGACCAGTGGCCAAATGCTTGGGGTGCTGAGACTTCACCCCCGTCCGGCTGGGCCTGCGGTGGGTCTGGGCTTAGGGCTGGTTTCTCGCCCACCGTCCCCTGCCCGACCAGCCTCTCTGCTGGGTGGGGATCTCCGCCCACCGCCACCTGTGTGGCCGGTCCTTGTCCCCCTTCGAAGGCGACCCATGGCGACGCCCCGGCATGACTGACAGTAACCAGCGTCCGGGAGGCTCCCGCTCCCCACTCCCGCACCACCCTCCACTCGGCGGCCACCACGGTCCTCGGTACCCAGGACCCCGCCGCTCTGCGCATCCCCCGGCCTGCGTGACCGGGTCCGACGGCCAGGGCCTCTCTCTGCCCCTTGCAGACCCTTCGAGAAGGTGCCAGCCCACCAGGCCGCCAGCCCCACCACCATTCAGCCAACTCCAGCGCAGAGCTGGGGGTCTGAGCTGCCCACAGAGGGCCGGCGAGGGCGGCCTCAGGGGCCCCCCGGCCAGCAGGGGGAGCTGTTGAGCGGGACACCCTGGGGCAGCTTACCTTTATCCACTAGTGAGAGGCCCAAAAATTCAAAACAAAACAATGTTAGAGGCACCGAGGAGAGGAAGAGGCAAAACCCCACCCCCACCCGAAGCCGCGGGTGTGAGGGAGGCGCCAGCAAGGCCATGCACGGGTAGGGGCGCAGCCCGGCCCGACGGGACTCTTACCGAGCTCCTCCAGCTCTGAGGTCATGGACTTGGAGCGCAGCGTGAGGGCCGTGGTGGGAGCGCGCTTGGGAGGCGGGGGCGCTGGAGGGGCAGACGGGAGACTGAGGGTTAGACCCCTGGCGGCAAGCCCGCCCCCCCCCGGGTTGGGAACGGTCACCCTGCTGGCCCGCGGTGAGTCACCACGCTGTGTGTCTGCAGGCTTCATTGGGTCTGCAGGGTGCAGACTGGGCAGGGGGCTCAGAGGGGCCAGGACAGGCCGTCTTGGGAGGCCCCAGCCCTCTGCACCCCCACGCCCTGCAGTCCTGGCATGAGGGTCCCTGCCCTCTGGCGGCTGGTGGGGAGGCTGATGGAGCTCTCTGTGCTGGGCCTGCTGGCAGCTGACAGTTCTGGCTGCCGCCTCCCCCTGGAGGGCCTCAGAGGGGGGATGCTCCCACCTCCCCCATCTCACAAGGACCTGCCTGTCTCCTGTGCCTATGGCCCCCCGCAGCCCCTTTTGAGAAAAGCCTGGGAGCTACCCTCCTGGAGTCCCCCAGCAGCTCCCCTCACGCCTCCCCTCGTAGCCTCAGGCCGCAGGCTCCCTCCTCCAGGCAGCCCTCCCTGACTGTGCCGCTTGTCTCCCCTGAGCCCAGGCCCAGGGCGCTAGGTGGGGTGGGTGGAAGGGGCTGCACCAGCTCCTGGACAATGCAGGGCTGTTGGGAAAGGTGTGCTGTCCCAGCCCCTCCCCTGTGGGGACCCGGGCCATCGGCCTGCTTTGGGCTCCCCTGGGCAGGCCTCACCCAGCCCGTCTCCCAGCTGCGGCCTCCCTCAGGAAGGAGGGTGGCCCCAGCCCCTGTGGGGGGCAGCCGCACGCCAGACAGTGGGCCCCGTGGACAGTGGGCCCGTGGACCCTCAGGTTGGACGGAGCCTGGCCGTCTGCTGAGCATGGCCTCAGGCACCACTGTCCTGGGCAGGCTCCAGAGTCACCTCCAAACCTCCCTCTGGCTGCTCTGCTCTCGGAGGACCTGGGGACACACCTGAAGGCCCACCCCTCCCACCGCGGCTCGTGGAGAAACGTGGGGGTGGGGCCCTGAGGGACACCTACCTTTCTTCCTGGCGGTGTCATCGGGGTCGAGACTCCTGGTGACCGTGACCACCTTGAGGACGAGGTGGTTCCCTCCCTGGCGGATCATGTTCACCACCTGCCGGTGGCCGACCTTCACCACGTTCTCGTCGTTCACCTGTGAACGGCAGCGGCCGTGAGGGGTCACCGGGGCCGGCCCAGGTGCCCCACGAGGGGACACCGGCCGAGGGGCGCTCTCGGACTGCGCTCTGGCGCCGCCCCGGGCCCCGCGCGAAGAGCCCACACAGGGCGTCTGTCTGGATTCCAGGGCTGAGGAGGCGGCGTGGTACCAACCGCTTCCTGCGCCTTCGGGGGACACACACCGCTCCGCCTGCCTGGCTCCTCCGGGCCGTCCTCCTCGCCCGCTGGCCAGCAGTCTCCATGGGCCTGCTCACCGGGCTCCCGCTCTGGGGCCCGTGCCGCCCCCACCAGGACCACGGGGCACTGGCACGTCCTTAGCCCCTTTCAGAGCCTGACCCTCCCTCTGCCTCCCCTCTCCCACCGTGGTGAACAGGCACGGAGGCAGGTGACCACGGTGCTGTCCGCAGGCAGGAGCCAGCGGCCCGGCCCTCTGGATGTCGTACAGCTCGGCCCTGCTGCAGACCGACCGGCGTGGCCGCTGTCCCATCGCCGTGGCCGAACCAGAGCGATGACCTGGGCCGGGGCGGGCCGGGAGCACAGACCTGGGAGCGGTTTCTCCCGGAGGTGCGCTTCTCGGTCACAGGCGCTGGGCTGAGCCCCAGCCCTCTCGCCCAGTGGGGGTCTGGCCGCCCCACAGCTCCCGGAGTGGGTGCCAGGAGGGCGGGGTCCACCCCAGGCGGTGTCCGTGAAGAAATGAGCCCGATCGTCAGGCACAAACCCGAAGTCGGGGTACCCCGCCGGCCCCTGCGACCGCCGCCCCGTTTTGCCGAGATTCTTCCCCTGCTGTGGGTCCCGCAAAGGGGGGTGCGGTGCAGAGTGAGTGAGGCCCAGTGAGGGGCATCTGGCTGCCAAGGGGAGCCCGGGACAGGCAGCTGCCAGGCCCTGGGGAGACGGCCTGGTGGCTCAGACAGCCTCCAGCTGACCATCACCGAACACTCCGGGTCAGGGGTCCGGCTGCCCCATCCCGATGGGTCCCGAGCACAGGCCTCGGGCGGGGCTCGAACAAAGGCCGGTGTGACCTCGAGGAGCCCAGGCACCCAGCACCGGGCTGGGGGAGACGGAGGGGCGCCCCAGGTTGAGCTGCGGAGGACGAAGGAGTCGGACTGAAACCCAGGCTCCTGCAGCTGGGGACTGGCAGGAACTCGGCCACTAGGGGGCTCGGCAGGGGGTGCGCTGGGGCCTGACCTCTGACCTCTGACCTCAGTCCCGCATCCTGCGGCCGCACTGCTGCCTGCCAACCCTGTGGCCATGGGCCTGGCTCCTTAGAACCCCGTTCTCTGGCAGCTCCTGTGTCTCCGTGTCACTGGTAGCTGGACACTGTCCTCCGGGACCCTGGCCGTGGCCCCACTGGGGAGCCGACCGTTGTTCCTGGGGCTGGGGTGAGACCTCGCTGCCCGCGACCATGGCCGCTGGAGCTCGGGGGACAGCGGCGTCTCAGAAAGGAAGGGCCAGGGCCCCTCAGATGTGGGGGAGCCGGGCTGGGGGCAGCGAGACGGAGCCCGTGGTCAGGTGCCCTGGAGGCCACTGGCTGGCAGGCACAGGGTCGCGCCCCTAGGCTGCAGCACGAGGTCCTGTGGGCCACTCTAGGTCGCCCAGCAAGTAGCTGGTGTCGCGAGGGACGGGGCCCTCAGCCGGCCGCTCCGCCCTCTGCCCACCGCAGCCCCTGGGGTCAGCCTCGGCGGAGGGGGTCCTGGGGGCTTCGCCACCCTCAGGGCAGCTCCCGGAGGCGAGGCCTGCAGGACAGCAGGGGCCCGGGGTCCAGCCCGACCCCAGCCCTTTCCGCAGGGCCCTCGCTGGACCCGGGAACGAGTCACTGAGCTCTCCGAGAACACTGGCTGCCGGGCGGCTCCGTTTCTGCCCTGGACTCGGGTCGCCATGAGGCCTTGGGCTCGGATCCTGCTCCCTGCTCCCCCTCTGTCCTCCGTCCGTCCGGGGCTGAGAGAGCCCCGGGGCAGGAAGAGGGTGCCCTCCAGGTCGGTGCCGCCCTCCAGCTGCAGGGCGTCTGCCTCCCGGGCCTGGGCCCACAAACTCAGAACCCCTCTCCCAGCTGCCGCCCCTCCGTGCAGACAAGCCTGACGCCTGTTCCCGGGCTGCAGGCCCTGCTCCTCAAGCCCGCACGGTGGGCAGCAGCCCCGCCACAGAGCCCGCTCTGGCCTGGGACCCTCAGCCCTCAGCCCTCAGCCACACCCGTCTTCAAGTCTCCTCCTGCTTTGCCAAGTACATAAACTTTGCCAAAGTCCTTCCCCCAAAGCAAGACGTGCCAAGCTCCGAGCTGCAGGCTGCCCGGGCTTTCGTGAATCCGCTGCCCGGGTACAGGTGAGCGCCTTGGCAGGGAGGGCACAGGCGCCACCTGGCACACGCTGGGATGCCTATAAATACCCTCCCTGGAGGGGAGCGGGCAGAGGCACAAGGTAACGGTGCCACTGGGAACAGACAAGCCAAGGACCAAGCACGCCGGCGGGAAGGCTGAGCTCCTCTCCGCCCCGCGGTGGGGGAGGGCGGGCAGCCAAGAGCAGAGGCGCCTGTGGATGCCCGGCCTTTAAGCAAACTTAACACTCAGTTCGACCGTCCTTAGAACAGATGCTCGGAACCGCTCGTGTGGTGACGGAAATCCGACTCGATAAAATGCTGGCTGTTTCCGCCGGTGCCCCGCTTGGTTCTCGGGGTTCAGTTCCCTCAACACACCTGGACCTGCGGCTGGCGCACGCGGCCACCGGGAGGAGGTGTGTCCTCGGCCACCTGCCACGTTGGTGGGGCTGAGCCAGCATTGGGGCTCCTGGGGCTCCTGGGAGCGGAGCGAGCCCACCAGGCCCCCACGCGCCGCCCTTAGCGCAGACACGGGGAGACTGCGGACGGCAGGGGCCCAAGGTGCCCCGCCCGGCTCAGGAGTCCCCGGAGGACGAAGCAATGCAGGCCTTCCCGGGCCACACCCACCTTTCCAAGTACTTCTCTCCCACTTAAATCCTCTACAATATCAAACTTGAGCCCTGGCTGGTTTGGCTCAGCAGTTAGAGTGTCGGCCCCTGGACTGAAGGGTTGTGGGTTTGATTCCGGTCAAGGGCATGTACCTCGGTTGCAGGTTCGATCCCCAGCCCCGGTTGGGGTCGTGCGGGAGGCAGCTGGTCGATGTGTCTCTCTCCCATTGGTGTTTCTCTCCGTCCCTCCCTCCCACACAATCTGAAAATCAATGGGAAAAACATCTCAGGTGAGGATTAACAACAACAACACATAAAACAAAATATCGAACACGTACGTGCGTGCGGTTTAAAGAGACAGAGATCCGCAAGCGCGTGACGAAACCAGCAGCACCTGCCATGGGGGTGCAGTCGTCACTCCCAAAACCTCAGCCCCTTCCGTCCGTGTCTGTCACCGCATCTCTGACACGCTCACCGTGTGGCCACGCGACGTTTACATTTTCATGATTATTCGCTGACGCCCCGCGATGGAAAATGGTGTAGCTCAGGCTTCGCAACAGTGGCTCATTGCTGTTTGGACCGATAACGCTTTGTTATGTCTGCTCACAGGATGGTCAGCGCCGACCCTGGGCTCTACCCACTAGAGGCCACCAATATCCCCTCCCCCCAGATGTGACAACCAGGAGTGTTTTTGGATGTCGCCAGATGTCCTCTGGGACGTCAAACTCACCCTCAGGTGAGAACCAGCAAGTTCACTTTCCGGTGCCTCTATCTTCCAGTTACACCCTAATTTTCATGAGATCGGCATTCGGGATTTTTGCATCAGAACTGAGTAATACCTACACCTGGCTCAACGACACAATGTTGCTTTGCCTTTTCCTGTTCGTTTTGCTCTCCCTGGAGTGAAATCGTTTGTGTGTTGGTTTCATCGTCTGTGTACATAAGGAATTCAAATCCAAACACTTCCTAATTATGGAAGGCTCCCTTCAGAATCTTCCAATCCCTCGGGGATTCTGTTGTTTGTCTCCTGGAAGAAATTGCTCCCTTGCTCTGGACAGTGTGGTTCGGTGTTATCCAGACCTGGGTCCCCATCACCGCTGCCTTTAGGATTTCCTCTGATTCTTTGCATTAGATCTCCAGAACCCTCACCCCCCACATTTTCCAAAAACCTCATGTTTGGTAGAGGGCATTCTCCAGCAGCTTCTCAATTAAAGGAGTTTACGAAATAATCGCCCCCTGCCCCACCCCAGACATTGCCTATTTGAGAATGACTTTATCTGCCAACATACACGGTAGTTTGGCTGGGTATAAAACATGGGGTTGAAGGTTAAGGTCAAGGGAGCTCACAGGACTTACTCTTCTGCAGGTAACAACGATCAAGTCTGGACGAAATGCACCCTCCCACCCCTGAACCCAAACACACGCAGTTCCCTGAAAGCTCTGGAGAGTTCCCTTTTTTAAAAAGGTAGGCAGATTCGGGATGGGATTAAAACATCGGAAGCACGGGGCCGTGGGCACAGTGCGGTCCCTTCTCAAGCTCTGACCGTCTTTCGGCCTCGAGGCCACGGCTGCCTCCGCGAAGGGAGAAGGCCGGGAAAGAGAGCCAGGGGAGAGGCGCTCGTGTCCCGGGTGCGAGCTCCCGCCAGCTCTCTGGCGGACCTCTGGAACGCACACACACAGGGCCCAGTCAGAGCAGCCGCAGACGAGGCCGAAATGCCCGAACTGAAGCTGGACTTGTGCTGCAGCAGGTCACACTGTTTGCAGGCTGAGCCCATCCAAGGTAGTCCGCAGCCGGAACAGCGGCGTCCGTGCTCACCCAAGAAATGTGAGAGAGTCCAGAGTGTCCAGGGTGCGAGACAAACCCGCCCGGTGACCCTGAGCCGACCAGGAGGATCAGACGGGATGAGAAGAATACCCCATAGGGAAGGGAACTTCACTCATGATGCGTGTCAGGTCTGACAGCTCAGTAAAAAACAAAAGAGTGAAGGAAAAGGAAGCGGAAGCTTTAGAACTAAAACCTAGACGGTCTAACATGAAAAGGTGTACTGGGTGCGTTCGGAGC